AAGACACAAGACCCAACACTCTGGATGAGCTTAAGACACAAGACCCAACACTCTGGATGAGCTTAAGACACAAGACCCAACGCTCTGGATGAGCTTAAGGCCACTATCGAAGCATCCTGGGCCTCCATAACACCTCAGCAGTGCCACAGGCTGATTGCCTCCATGCCACACTGCACTGAAGCAGTCATTTCTGCAAAATGATTCCCCACCAAGTACTGAGTGCATAACTGAACATAATTATTTGAAGGTTGACTTTTTTGTATTAAAAACACTTTTCTTTTATTGGTCGGATGAAATATGCTAATTTTTTGAGATAGGGATTTTTGGTTTTTCTTTACCTTTTTGCCAAAATCATCAATATTAAAACAATAAAAGGCTTGAACTACTTCAGTTAGTGCGCAATGAATCTAAAATATATGAAAGTTTAATGTTTATCAGTACATTACAGAAAATAATTTAACTTTATCACAATATGCTAATTTGTTTGACAAGGACCTGTACATGTTTTCGAACAGCTTTCACAAAACCTTGATGAATTTGTTATTAATCATTCAATGGTGTTTAATTAGTGTTAGTAAAGTCGAATAAAACCAATGAAAAATTGCACATTTTGACAGCTATTTAAAATATTAACTTGTATCTTTTTGAACAGGTGTTCGTCACGTGACGTAATGGTTATTTTAAAATGGCGCCTCTGTCTTTACAGTGTTTTGAAACGAAAAATAAAAAATTGGCTTAGATGTAGAATACAACTGCTTTGGCCTATAGGCTGTTTTGAGCTCACGCGCACTTCTCCCCAAAATTCCCACTTTTACAAAGAATAACCCTCATGTGGGCTACAGTTCAGCTCTCCGATGTGCTTTTGTTCACAAAACCATTTTAGGATGTTTATTTAGGGCCTTACACAAGTCAAGAGTGCCAGTATTCTTTGATGCAGGCCATTCAGCGGCCTCGTGGCCCACCTCGCTGCCGGGCTCGGTTAGGGCCTCGCGGGCCCTCGCGGCTCGTTCCAGCAGCTGGACCACCTCCACGTGCCCCTCCTTCTCGGCCAGGTGCAGCGGCAGGTTCCCGTTGTCGTCCGCCAGGTTGACGTCAGCCCCGTACTCAATCAGCGCGCGCACCGTTTCCACGAAGCCCTCGCGCGCCGCGTCGTGCGTCACGGTCAGTCTGAGGAGCGGGTCGCGCTCGTTGGGGTTCGCTCCGGCCGCGAGGAGCGTCCGGACGAGCCGGGTGTGCCCCAGCTTCACCACCTGTAAACAAACAAACAAACAAACAAACAAACAAACAAACAAACAAATAACGTCAATTGAATAATCTGGAAATAACTCCCACATCAAGTTTTACACGGGTAGATTAGAGCAGCGTTAAAATAAACACTTTTTTATTTTTCAAAATAAGACAAAAATAAAAAAAAAGTGCTCTTTACAAATGCAACGAACAAAAAACACCAATATTGTTGATGACATAAAGAAGTTGTGGCAATTTTAGTCTTAAAAGTTTCTCTAATTTTCAATTTAACATTTAAAACCCTGAAAGCTCGTGGGGACTCTGCAACAAACAACAAAACAAACATGTCAACAAACAAGTTGTGCCTGAGTTTGACTTTAAAAATAAACTCCCCTTTTCAAACCCGCAGAGTTAAAAACTAATTAACACTTAATATGAGATTTATTCAAAAAGTTAATGCTTATTTCCCTGAATACATCCCACATATGTTTATTTAGTAATTAAACCTTTGCACCACTCCAGTCACAGCCTCTTTTTTTTACATTAATTTATTTTTATTCTAATTTTCCCCTTAGATTAAAAAAACATTAAAAATAAACAAAACAAAAAAGAAATATGTTTCCTCTTTCCTCCAAGGGAAATTCCATGTGTGGCATGTCACTCAAACTTTCTCCCCACCACAGTTTTACAGTTATTTACATTCAAAACGTCATTTCTTTTTATTTATATGCGTTTTTAATAACTTTGTTTTTGTTTTTACACCTGACCACCGTTATAACACCTAAACTTTATTATTTTACTCTCTTACTTTAAATTTTTTTAATGCAAAACACATTTAAAAAATGAATAATTTAGATTTCTCTTTATAAGTGTAATATTTAGGCCTATTAAAAATCCCCCCCCCCCCAAACACACACTCAGTGTTTATGAATTTAGCTTTTTATTGATCATAATAAATAAGTGAAACTTCCTGCCATGTAAAATATTTGATTTATAAGTTTTGACATGTTTGGATGATCAGATTAAATCCTCCCGAGCAACAAAAAAATAAGATTAAAGCGTTTGACAAACCTATAAGTCAGCACATGGCACAAAGTAGGAAGTGACTTCTTGTTTAGGAAAGTCAGAAAATGTTTCAACAAACATTTTTTTTTTTACAACTTGATTTAAAATCTGAAAAGTTGAATACAGACTGGGGAGTTTACTGACCTGTAAAGGAGTTCTTCTGTATTGATTTTGTCCATTGATGGCAGCTCCTTCATGCAGTAAATGCAAACAGCTCTCCATGTCTCCTCTAGCTGAAGCATTGCAAAGTGACTCTACCTTTGAATTCATTATTGGTAAAAAAAAAAAGCAAACAAACTTTACTTATACTAATAAAAATTAAATTAAGTAAGAAAATTTAATCCAGATAATCCAGGCTCGCAAAAGGTTTTGAAGAGGTTTTTAGACAGTGGTCTGTTTAAGTCCCTCATATGACTCCTCCTTCTCCCTGCCCTGAGCAGGGCCTGCAGGACAGGAGGGGGGAAAGGAAAAGAAAAAAGATTTTGTTTTATTCATTATTTAATACATGAGACAAATAGGCCGAATGAGTTATGATTATTAAGATATTGTCAATTTAACTCTCACCAAATGACACAAACATACATTTTTCCCCAAAATAAAATAAATTACAGCATCAGTTTACTTTTATTTCTATAAAACTATAACTATAACTGTGTTAAAACACTAAATGCATCATTTTAAACTTTACAATCAAGTCAAAATAAAATAAAATTCTGGTTAAGACAAGCTCCGTGCGTATCCACTTCTTAATTTAAACAGAAATTAAAGAAAAATCAGGTGAAATGAAAGTATTTATTCGTGGTTTGAATATTGCATGATTCAGTGTCAGATGATGACAAATGAAAGCTTCATGTTCGAATCAAAAACAAAACGAAACGAAAAGACTTACTCAGACTGAGACCTGAACCACAACAAATATCCTCCTCCATTTTATTTTGATCGATGTGCCGTGATACAAAACGACCAACGAAATATTTAAAAATAAAAAGAGAGAGAAAATAAAAAAAGAGACTCGATCATAAGAACGAAGCAGTGACAAAGGAAGTGATGCGAGGCTCCTTTCCCGCTCATTTTCAAAAAGCTCTTTCCTAAAATGTAGACGCAGCATCTCTCAATTCCTTCTGTACCTGAACGCATCATTCAGTGGACAGATTAATGAAACCTAAACAGAAATGTCTGAATGATACTGATTTTCCTTTAACGTCCAAACAATAACTCATCTGTCACATCTTGAATAAATATAAAAAGAAACTGCGCAGACAGTTCAAACTCTGCGGTGCGTATATGCCGCCCCCTGGTGGGGAGAAAAACAGCTGCAGTGAGTTTTCTGATGTGGACACACAAATCCAGATTTGTTCAGTTTACTGTCTGCAAATGCAACAGATCAGTTATCATAAAACTTGTTATGTTTAGGATTTTTTCCATCTCTTTTTTTGTCAGATTATACTTAAATTTGGGGTTTATTTGTGTTATTTGTGGCATGGTTTCTTTTGTTTCACGCTCCTCTTCGCCTATTGGCTTCTCAATTAGTTGTCAGCTTTTTATACTCTGCTCCTTGGTCTTGGTTTGATATGGTCTGCTTTGTGTTCAGCTAAGTCCTAATAAAACACTGGGTTGGTCCTACCTCTTGCTCATCCTGTCCTGCTTTCTCCATTGTCCTCCCCGTTCTCATAACAGAAAACTGTAGTCCTTTGAGTTAATTTCATCTATGTGTCTGTGTTGTTTTGGGGGGGAAAAAACTTGCTGATTTTATTTTAAAGCATTTAATTCCTTTAAAATATAATAAAACAATAAAATAAAAAAACTTTATGTCCCAGCATTCCCACACAAACATCTCAATAATTATCTCCTGATGCATCTCAGTAATCCAGGTAAAAAATCAAAAAGAAAGAAATTGTATAGGTC